GTGGCTGCATGCTTGAGTACATGACACTTCTGCACCAACGTGGGTGATGTCAGAAACCATGTAACAGATTTAATTGCAAATGTCTGTATAGTGTGTGTGAATCTTAAACTGTTAGTTAAAGTAAGATTTTTGTTAATATGAATGGATGTGTACATCTGATATTTCCAAGGTGACCCTTACTTTCACCTCTTAATTATGGTAATTTGGAGATAGGTGATCTTGTCAATGTAACTGATTTTTGTACTTCAATTTAGCCAAGAACTCTTCTACCAGATACTTGTTTATGACTTTGCAAACTTTGGAGTCTTAAGGTTGTCTGTAAGTATAATTTTACATTATATTCCAGATAAAAATATTTTTAATTTAGTTACAGTAAGCCTGTCCTTTCAAATTTTGACAGGTTGGTTTTTGTCCAGAAGAGCAATGTTTTGTTTCTTTTACAATAATAGAATGTAGAAAACTCTCAGTAATTTTGTAGCTACTACTGTAAGTTGTCATCCTGCCTCTTACTAGTGTCACTTCTAGATATTCACCAAGTTTTGCTGTTGCCTGTTACATTGGGATAAATAATATAATGACTGCTAGTGCTTATCCTGTAAATATTATGCCACTTTGCAGTGATTGTGAATGGCACAGAATCACATCAGAAAGAAATTCCTACTTTTTAGACTGGTTATGATAAGCAGAACAGTTTGATCTGCAGGCCAGGAATGATATATTACAATTAGTTTATATGTGAAGGAAGAATCCATTGATTTTTCAATAGACTGTGTTGATCATTAACAACAGTTTTGCCTTCTCCATTTTTAGGAGCCAGCTCCTTTATATGAGCTTTCAATGCTTGCTTTAGAGGATCCTGAAAGTGGCTGGACAGAAGAAGATGGCCCAAAAGAAGGGCTTGCTGAGTACATTGTGGAGTTTCTGAAAAAGAAGACTGAGATGTTGAAAGATTATTTTTCTCTTGAAATTGATGAGGTGACTGCTGTTATCACTTCTGACAGTAAACAAATGGTGTTACGTGTTGATAATGGATAACTACAGTAGTTATCTTGTGCTACTTACTGGAGATGGGGCTTAGTAAGCTTTAGGTGGCTCACTCCTTTCATTAAAAATACTCAGGACTTATGCTGCTTTTACAAGGGGGCTACACGAAGAAGCTTATATTTAATTAGTTACCAAATAATTTAGTGTTTCTGTAACTAGAATGCAGACCAATGCTCTTATCCAAACAAGGTGTGTGGCTTTACCCAGCTCCCTAGCCAGGTCAGGCTACAGCATCACCGTTGCTTTCTGAGTCTTTTTTTGTGTGTGTGGTCTAATGCATCCCTTACTCTACACAAAACCAGACAGCTTCATCGATGAGCGTATAACCCAGACACTTCACTCGGGTACTCTCCTAGGAAGCGAGATGCATGTAGTCAGTGGCTAGAGGTAGAGGAGGAAGCTGAATTTGGGTTTCCCTGAGTGGTTTAAATCCAGGCCTTGTGAAGTTAAACACCCCCCCTAACCCTCTGCCTGGCATCAGGCTTTAAAACATTCTAACTTCAGATACCCTTAAGGCTCACTAAGTTTGGTAAGAGTCAGTCTTACAACAGGTAACAGTTTTTTGGTGCATTTACTGCAAGAACAAACTTTGTTTTGTTACTGAAGCAGCAGTGTTGCCTTGCAGGAAGGAAACCTAATTGGGTTACCACTTCTGATAGACAACTATGTTCCGCCGCTGGAAGGACTGCCGATGTTTATCCTTCGCTTGGCCACAGAGGTATAATCTCTCAATGACTGTATTCAGTCACAAATAACTACTTCTATTCAGGAAAGAATGAATTAAGGCTGGAATTGGTTAAATGTACTGTTACATGCTCCTGCTGCTTTTACTATTGTTACTGACTAGTTGTGCTTTGCCTCTGCATTCTTAACTACTGATTGAATGAGAATACATTTTGATTTGAAAGCCTGCATTTCTACCTTTTTCTTTTGTTCTATGCCTTACCTTATCAGCACAAAAATAGCCGAAGTGTTGTTATGACTTTTCCATATTGAGAATTTCTATCAAGTCTCTGACTGCTCTCCGGAGTCTACTAAATGTCTTCTCTTTCTTGTAACAGGTAAACTGGGATGAAGAAAAGGAATGTTTTGAAAGCCTAAGTAAAGAATTAGCTATGTTCTACTCCATTAGAAAGCAATATTTAATAGATGAAGCCAACTTGACAAACTCACAGGTACAAGAACATGTAACTAGTCATGTGAACAAACAACTAACACCACACAGGAAACAACTTTTTTAAACTATAGACTTCTAGTCCTGACTCTGCTTTCAGTGAAGTGAATCAGGTAGCAGCGTGGCAAGATTCTGAAAGTCTGTAACTTATATTTTCTGAAGTACTATATGTATTAAGAGAACCTTTTAACTTTGGGTATCACAGTATATTTAATACTACAACAGTCCTTGGCCTCTGTGTGATTTATTTTAACCTGCTGAGCCATGATGAATTTCTACAGAAGAATAAGGATGCATATAAATTAAAAGTTTAGTCTGCTTGTGTCCAAGTATCTGCTTAATCATTCGGCAAGTGATTTGCCACAGCTTAAAATTGACTTGATTGTATAGAATGGAACTTCTCTAACACTAGCAGAATTTTACAATTAGTGTAGTCTAACATAATAGTTACTAGAGGATAGCACTCCTTAAGAGAATTTAATTGCCTTTTTTCCTTCTGTATTTTAGGATGAAGATTCTGATTCTGGTTCAACAACATGGAAGTGGACTGTGGAACATGTACTTTACAAAGCTTTTAGGACTCACCTTTTACCTCCTAAACACTTCTCAGAAGATGGCAACATTTTGCAGCTTGCTAACCTGCCTGACCTATATAAAGTTTTTGAGAGATGTTGAGCAAGTTGTTATTTGTACAAACTGGTGCACACCTAAAAACACATTCATGCTAGGTTCTGTTTTACTCAGAGGATAAAGCTGGAATCTTGAGGGAGAGGAGCATGAATGTATTTTCTTCCTTGTACTGTCCCCCTCTGGCAATACTGTCACTAAGGTAACTACTGGAGTCACATCTTCCTGAGTCAGCCAGACCAGCAAGGGGGAAGTGACTGCACAGAGTATAACAACAACTGCGCAACCAAGAAAATGAAATGTGAAGTGAACAACTGGCTGGAGCTGGATTTGACCGACATATTACTTGCTGGCAGTGGAGAGCACCCAGTGTCCAGATGGTGGAGCACAGAGGGACAGGTAATGGAATCACATTTGTATTGTGATTCTGCTGTATATTGCCCTAGCTATAGTGTGCTTGTCTGGTAATTTCAGCATACTGCTGTATCACTCTTCTAAATCCAAATCATAGGTAAAGGCTAATATATCAAATTTATTTGATATTAAACATGAAAAACTCTGTCTATGGAACATCTCATAACCTGTTCAGATATCCTAGATGTGTTTTTCTCATTGAGTTGAATATTTAGTTAGGAACATTCCACCATTAAGTGACTGGGTTTGATTTATGTTTTTTCTTCTAATGATTTATTCTTACCTGCATCTGCTGAAACAGCTCTGGACTACTGAACAGACTTGATCCTGGCTTATTCTTTTCATTCAGCAGCCACAGAAGAGAATTTTAGAAATAGCACAGAATAGAAATGCCTTATCTTTGTCACACACCACAGAAGAGAATTTTAGAAATAGCACAGAAATGCCTTATCTTTGTCACACGCTTATTTACAGAACTGTTATTTGGAGCAAAAAGGCAGGTGATGATTTTGCTGTTAAAGCTTGATAGCAACTAGGAGCAAAAAGGCAGGTGATGATTTTGCTGTTTAGTTGCTATCAAGCTTTAAGTGAAATAAAATAGCTGTGAAAGTATTTTCAGAACAGCTGCTGAACTGTAGCTCTTGCAGATTTCAGTAGTATCATTTTCATTTCCTTTTCTTCCTCTCCTTTCCCCCTGTAGTACCTCCCCAGAATGTACTTTATTCAGTGCTGTAGCCTCAACTCTACCAGGACAACTAAGCAAGTGATCATGTTAATAGCTCAAGCCCACTTTTAATAAATGATCTTCCAACCCACTTCCAGTGTCCCAAACACAAAGCTAAGCAAAATCCTACATCCACACAGCCCTAAGCAGTGTTGAACATCACTATCCATCTGCTGTGCTATCCAGGGCTCATCAAGCTCATGGCTTTGAGTTTGGCAGCAGCAGCTTACAAGTCCCTGCTGTTAGCTTACTGAGTTGTTGAGACTGGCTGTTTTAATGCTTTGAGGACTGGCTTTTGGTTTGTTCCTTTCATGGAAAAATCCTGCAAACAGAAACAGTCAGTACTGGCTCAAGAAACAGCTGTGATCGGAGGAGTTAGACCACAGCCCATCCCCTCTTCTACCCACTGTGCTTCTATTTCACAGCAATGGAAATATTACAAAGCAATACAGTCCATATGCATAAGTGAACATGTGAAAAAATGTTGGTACTTAATATTCACTGTGCAGGTTGCTCATATATAGCCATTAGGTTTTAAGGAAAGTAAAGTAACAACACTTACATTCATTCCACTTCAGGTAGGAATTAGGTGTTATCTAAAACTTTTTTGATCAAGCATCAGTTAAAGAATCAGTTAACACTTAAGATCTGTATCTGAAAATACATACCTTACACAGTTAAAATGAACAATTGACTGCCTTTTACTACCGGGGTAACAGTAGTGTTTGTTTGCAAAGGCTTCACTTCAGTTTCCTCCTTGAACCTGAAGAACAGCCACCACCAGTACAGGAGTGGGAACTACGTTACTTCAAAAAGCTCCTTGCATCCTTCTGATACCACACACGCAACAAAGAAATGATGTTCCACCACCACTGCATCCCTACAGGCAGCCAAACAGCACTGTAACACATTTTGCACAAAAGCTAGGCAAACTGGACTCCTCGTTACCCCACAAGAAATAAAAGTGGTACACATGGATTTTCAGTTGATAATGCAACAAAATACCATAATGCATTATCCATGTTTTAACATTTTTATTTTAGAAAGTGAACATATCCATTAAAAAAGAAAACACATGGAGTTAAAAAAAGTAAACATAAAACTAATGACAAATTTGCAACAACATAAAATAATTTTACCTAGTGAGTCCCAACAATCATTAAATATACTTCCACCATAGAGAAGTTTTACTTCATTATATTACCAGTCTCTTGATTAGGTACACAAGACAACACTTTCCAGTAATTACCTAGTCATTAGAAGATCAACTTCAGGAATCACTGAATAATAATACATCATCGACAAATATTTGCATACCACCTGGGAGGCAACCTAATATACATACGTCAAAGTACATCTTTGTGAGGTATTACAGTACATGGGAACCATTCCCTTTGCTTTCCAATGAGAAAATTCTCCCATCAGCAGCTCCACCAGCAAGTCAGGCACAGACTCTGTTGCCAGTTTCCAAACCCCAACACCTTCCCTCAGAGGTTTTCTTTCTGTAACAGATTACACAAGTCAGGATGAAGGAAGATGCAAGTCAAGACAATAGATATTGAAAATGGGGAGGCTGAAAAGAAAAGGTCATCCACTCTTCCAGATGAGCACTACAAGATTTCAAATCAGAAGCTTCAGCTTCTCAAGAATATTTAATACCTCCCCAAGCTTGAGCTTTGCCATGTGTGATGAAGTGAAAGCAAGGGCAAGATAATTCCAAAAGTAAATAAAGTCATTTCCAAAATAAGGAAATCATCTCTCATATTTAACCGACAAAAATCTTAAGCTGCAGCAGCTCCAATGTAACCCATTTGTAGTATTAAACAGACTGAGGAGGGGAAATATCGAAGTAGTTTTCCCTGTGCAATCTTTGACATGACTATATGTGTCCTAGACTTAAACTAAAAGAAAAATCTCTTCCTAGCACTCTTTCATTTCCATCTCCAAAGAAATATCTCTCCCCACTTCCAAAAAAAAAAAAAAAGAAAAGAAAAGAAAAAGAAGGAGCTTTTACACATCTAGTCCACCAGCGTCCTTTCCAGGACAGCCAACAAATAAAGAACAAATCCTGAGCCTGCAGCCTTTTACTCCGGAACAGCTCTCAGACCCTTGGGCCTGGGTTAACCAGAACTCAGCAGCAGAGAAGCCCAACTACAGGCTCTAAAGAGCCTGGCATGATTTCCTGCTGGAAGGTTGCTGACACAGACAGACTGGGTTCAAAGATGATGAACTCCTAAGAGTTAGCCCACCCTTCAAATCACTTGGGAAGAAACTAAGAAGAAAAAAAATATTTTTAGGAATACGCAGGTTCTATGTGAAGGAATTTACCTGGTTTTTCATATTTGCTATACAACTGGTTTTTCACTGTCTTGCTTTTCTTCAGAGTCTTCATCAGATCCTGAAAAGGAGACAGGAATGCTATTAGATCAGTTGAGAGAAGAAAAGAGAATGAGTGAGAAGGACAGTGAGCAAAAGGGAAAGCAAAGAGAGAAGGAGAGAGAGAGAAAAAAGAAAAAGCAGACCACCACTAGTAATGGCTTATCAAAAGGCAAATCAAAGCAACTATTTCTCATTAAAATATTTTCTTTTTACTTTAGATTTCTTATCTTTTTGGAGGTTTCACATTGAATGTTTTGTTTTTTTTCCCAACAGTTATCAAACCCAAAACCCAGCACTGGGATCATTCATGAAATACCTACACTGTCAACAGGTTCAGTTAGCAAGTGCTTCAAGTTTTCACTACAACACATTCAGGACAATCAACTCCACGTTTGCTCACTGACAAGCAGATCTTCCCACTTGCTGCGTCCTGCCCTTTGGAAGACAACTTCAGAAGACACTTTCAAAGCAGCCAGAAATACTGCTTTACAAATTAGTAACTTCTACAGTAACGCTGTATCTAGTGTTCTGGCAAGAGATTGTCTCACTCAAAGCCAGAGACCAAACAGCTCCCTCTGCCTCTCCCTGCCCAGTTCTCTTCTCCTCGTCCCCTGCCTGCTCTCAGCTGTGACAGAGCCCTGGAAGGCCCCAAAAAGCAAGCTGAGCTGGTCACAGGCTGCGTGCCCAGAGACAGCTCCTGCTGGAGGCACTGCTTTGCAGGAAGGTGGCTTGATGCATCGGTCGGTTCAAGGGGAGCAAGGAGACACCAAGCAAGCAGCCCGTTGTATGCGTACACATCTTGGACAGTCTAAATGAGACCTCCACAGCGGGGGAGGTGGGGGGAAAAGGGTGAGTGAGGAACTGTCTGTGATAAAATGCCTTCGAGACTTACTTCAGCTTTTGCCATCAATTTGAAGCTGAACTATGGACCCACACTCTCTCTTAGAAAGAAGAAAAAAAAAAAGACAAAGGTGTTATGCTTTTTTTCTTTTTGGCCAAACTACTCTGGAGTCCATTCCTTTCTTGGAAGAGCATACTTGCCTTTCATTCTGAAGCTCAAACTGTAAAGAAACTGTAGAAGTTTATTCTTTCCAGGCTGATTTTCCACTTGCTACCTCCAGAATGATTACTTGGCAACCAAGTCTAATGTTGAAGAAGAAGGGTCAACCCATATAAAAAAGCGGATGGAAAAGGGCATGACCCTGGACATGTGCATCTTCAAGGAAGACATAAAAAAGATAAATATGCTGCAAATTCCAACAGAGTTGGAATGTTTAAAATGTCACCTCCTGACAGCAAAAATTTGTTTTTAGACATGTTGCCATGTCAGTAGAGGGGTTTATTCCCCTCTGCATGATCACAGGGAACAGTTTATCTCTAAATATTTTTCCAATCACTATGTAAGGTAAATTGACCAAAAATTGGTCTCTGAGGACAATCCATAGTTTGTCTGATCTGAAAAAAATACAGAATTTTGAAGAAAGTATTTTAAATTGTGAGCTACTTTTACTGTACATCATCTAACAGTTTCAGAATACTGTGTAACTACCAGTATCTGCGTGTTTTAGTTCAAATTTATTCCTTTGACTGTTTCTTTTGCTTCTCATACCCATAAAGGGCGCTTAAACAAATTTACTTGGCAGTTAGGGCAGACTAGGAGAAGGCACGAGCTGTTAGTGAAACCAAGGTAACAAGCAGCCATTCAATAAGCTGAAAGCAATGGCATAGTCATAGGCCTGTAGTCACCACACGCACGCTGAGGCACGCTAGCTCACTGCACGTGCAACACTGACGCGGCCCAACTGCCACGGAAAACACATTAGCTCCGCTTAGGCTTCCTCTCACACTGTATATTCTATTGCTAAAAAAAATCCCAGGTTAAATCCAGTATAATACGTCCAATCATTATTCCTCAAGATAGACTCACAGCTTTGACTAAACTACGTTTTCACTTTGAATCATTAGTTACACTCAACATTGTCTTAATGCTTTGTCATCCCTAGATGGAGCTCTTAAGTCATTCATTATGCCAAGATGCTCAGCAACCACACAGCCAACTGAAAAATATCACCAATGTGTATAACTATAATACAAGATAAGCAAACGTATCTGCAGCAATTAGAAGGTATTAATATTTTAAATATACTGTATAATACACCACAGCTTTACAGAAGGCATTTCCACTTTAGGGTAAAAAGACTGACATAGGATTTGGGGGTTCACACTGCATCCTCAAATAGCTCAAATCCGCTCAACCCATAAAGAAATTACTCATTTCCTTGAAATGCCTGCAAACACATTCTTAAATCTTGCAATACTTCCTTTTATTTTTTGGCTTGCTCAGCTCATACCACAACTAGAACAAAGCACATGAAATGCAGAGTTAAGATGTAATTAACACTTGCCCTCAGTATTAATATACCCACACAGCCAGCCTTTTATAAAGACAGGGCTTTTTCTTTTTGTTATGAGAAAGGAAAACAGCCTCTGACTGAAACTTCAGTTTGCTTTAGAGCAGTTTCAGGTTCACTGTCTATCCTAAGATAATGCAAAGCTCCAAGTTTAGGCTGGATCAAACAGCGCATTGCTGCATAAACACTATTGCTAGCAGGTAAGAGATCACAGAATCATAGAATATCTCAAATTGCAAGGGATCCCTAAGGATCATCGATGGCAGAAACAAACAATGACCACCCCCTTTCAGTTGCGATACCATTTTCTTTCAGACTTACCTTGGTTTTAACGCCTTTGGGGCATGTCAGAAGCCCCACTATAACTACGTGTATTGTAATTCATCTGATAGGTAGTAACTGAACTGAATTACTGAATAACAAAGAATCTTTCATTTCAGGATTGTAAAGTACATTTTTAGTTTAAAAAGGAAAATATATTCTTCCCTTCACCCCTCCCCCACCTTACTCTCTGAAGGGGAGAAAAATATGCAGGAGTTTAACGTCAATATGAAAAAACATTCGCTATGCGAACGCAACTACCTGCTACAGATTCAGGAGGAGAATAGAACTGCCCATCAGAGAGGACTCCCGGGTGAAGAAGAGCTGCTCGTTCAGAAGCATCCTGTGCCATCAAAAATCCTAGAAGGAAAAAAAAAATCTCAAAAAAACAAATCCTTAATGCTGTCACACAGCATCTTAAAGATCAAGTACTGATGAAGAATCTTAAAGATTGATGTTAGATTGATATTAGCATTCCTAACAAGTTACTTCTATAAATAAATATCTCCGGAAAAAAAAGCAAACTGTTTATTTAACATTTATGTCTTCTATATAATTTCAGGCAGCTAAGGAGACACACTCTGGCAAAACAGAGGTACTGTACACACGAATTAAGGAATCCCTCCTTCTGCTACGTGCAATTGCATGATTAGGATGCCATATGTAAATTCATCAATATCCACTGGCTAACTAAAACTCTGAAATATATTTTTAATGATCAGTGAGTTGCCACACGTAACCAAATGAATTATTTTTTCACTTTGCCACTACAAGACTCCTCATGAATGGCTTTCACTTATCTGTCTCAACATATCCAGTTACTCCAATCTCCAACTCCTTTTGGCTCAATTTCATCTAAAATCAGGAAAATGATTTAGAAATTACATGGGGCTATCCTAGAGTGTTTAATACAGGACAAAACCCCAAAAAGGGTTAGTAGAGAAGCTAATTCATCTCATCCTTACTGCCATCAACAGGTCTTCTGATAATAACAGGGCAACGATGGCATTTTAGGTCAACGTAAGGCTATAGAGCTTCCATCCTTTACTCTCTGCCACATGAAGACTGATGGGGAAAAAAAACCCCACCTTGTTGTTTTACTGAATCATGAGAGCTGAGGTAGCCAGCAGTTATTTTAAAAAATAATAATAAAAAAATCTCTTTTCAACTCAAACTACTATCTCTACATATCAATCTATCTTATTAACCAGTTCAAAGTTTGACTTGATCTTAAGCGTTTTTTCCAACCTAAATGATTCTCTGATTCTTTTATTCTATGAAGTCTCCAAAGGAGACAACTGCTTTACTTATACTTCCATTCTGTCCAAAAGAGGAAGGTAAATCTCCATACTTAACAATGAGTCACAAGATACTAGAAGACATACACTGGGTGGATTTTAGATTTAAATCCTGCTCACGGAAGGAAACTTTTAGAGCTGGAAGTCATCTTCAGTGGAAAGATAGTTTTGCCTTTTTTTTTTTTTTTAAAGTTACAGACAAAACACCCAAATTATGAGCACTATTGCATTAGGCAGAAAGTTGGTGTGAGCAGGGTTTTTTGGTTGTTTTTAAAAACAAAACAGTAAGGTGGAAAAAAGTCAGTTTCCACTCCCTCTAAAGAGAGGAGAGAAAAATACCTGGTCAAAAAGCAAAAACTATTAAAATCTGCCTTCATTATCTGCCTAGATTTAAGAGCAAATAAGGCACTATATAAGTACCACCACACAACACAATACAATCATGCCTATCATTTGTCTGACTTAATTGCTTGAAACCAGCATTCTCCAGTGAAACCCTGTCCTTTTGGGAAATAGAGTTCAAATAAAAAGCATACTTTTTAATAAATACCACCTATTTCAAAGAATGAATAAAAAGAAAGTATCATTGACTCTCACAGGGGTTTACAAATAATATCTCAGTTTTATGACTGTGATCATCAAGTATTTACATGTCTATGTATCAAATACTTTGTCTATGAATATTCAGTATAAAACATGTAAAAGTCTCTGAACCGGACAGATTTCTTATCTATTGAGATTAAAGTGTGATGCAGCTGTACTTCCTCACCCCCCTCAAAAAAAAAAAGAAGAAAGGTTACCCTGAGTTTCCTTTTGTCTAGGAAAAGCCCAATGTACTAATTTAACCAAATATTTTTTTTCTTTCTTGGAGTAGTGGAAAAGAGGAGAGAAGGGATCAAAGCAGAAAGACTGCATTTCAGAGCACTAAAAAAATGGAGGCATCCATGCCTGTGTAGAGTTTTCATTTTTACATAAAATGTAAACATGCCCTTCCAACACAGTTTCAGACTGTACTTCAGATAGTGATGCATAATTGCTGTATAATTACTCTCCTGCTGTTGAAACTAACAAAACATCTGTAGCAGAAATCTATGCTTGCTTTTCCTCACCACTCAAGCAATATTCTCTTTCAACTAAGTCGGTGGGTTTCCTCCATTTAGTTGAATACATTGAGCATCACATGACCTGCTGCCTCATCTTGAGGAGGCTGAAATTTGTACTCTCTCTGATCTCATTATGTCTGTGCACGAAGCAGACTCTCCACAATACTTCTTTGCTCTCCCTTTTCCTCCTCAAAAGAAAAGTTAGTGACATTGAGTTAGTTATTGTGCCTACTCTTCCTAGAAGAGGAAACAGCAACTTATTCTATGCATTACCCAAAAAAGAAAATTTTAGAACCCAAGTCAGTTAAATTTTCATGTCTTAAGCATACAAAATTATATATGTCCCTAAGTGCCTGACAAATTACCGATCTGGACCTTGTAACTTTTAACTCTACCTCCCTAAATTAATTCAAAACCCACTTTGCTGAAGGCATATGGTCCTTTCCATAAAAAGAAAAATTATGCCATATAATTTAATTTTTCCCACAGCTCTTTAAATTTTGAGAAGTTGAAAGAAGCATTCTTGTGCCAGATAGCAGGCGATCAAATTTTGCCAACCGCAGCGACTGAAGGGATACATCAAAAGCTTACTGTTTTCTTCTTCAGCTTCTTGCGGTAACACTTTGAAGTCCAAGAACCAAGTTTCAATCCAGGCAAGTATGAAGGATATGATGGGCAGCACGTAGCCAAAAGCACCCTGTGAGAACAGCTTGAAGGAGACAAAACCACACAATGTTACAGAAATTACCCTAAAGAACCTTACTTTCCAGAAAGCAACAAAATAAAACAAACATTTGATTAGAATATGTACCTGTGAAATAATTACTTTTGCTAATAAAAAGGCACTGGTCACTGCTGTTGTAAACTGAAAGAGACAGGGTAAAAACAGTTAAGACTAATAATTGGATTTACTTTCTCATTTCTGCCCTTATCTATCAGTTGCAACTTTAAATATTTACCAACAACAGCAAGATCATAGATTAATAAAACTTAGCAACTATGATACAATTAACTTAATGTGCTATTAAAATAACCATCTTAATATTGATAACTTTTAATACAGACATCTCCAAATGTTGATTTCCACATAGCAGATAAGCAGTTTAGATACACAGATACTAAGTTATATAAATTGTGATCTTACTGTATAATGAAAATGCAGTATTTTATTCACCAAGTCCCTTAAAAAAATACCTATGTATTTGGGAAAAAGCAATCAGCACATGCTTTTCACTACCATCCAAATCAAAAGATCCATTTCAAATAACAAAACATCTTTGCATGAGTAAATTTTAATTAGTATTTTAATTCACGTAATGATATCGTGAAAAATGAATCACTTTGAAGACTTAATATTCTCTGACATTTAAAAAATGGTAGGCTGTGTAAAATGTCTGAAAAAAGCCCCAAAAAAGCAGTGGACAAGTACTGTTCAGTTAAGCAAGGATTCTAACTCTGTTAGTGCATTTGAGTCCAACAATTCTTTAAATAACAGCAGAACCTAACTAGCTTCTGGTAAGCACAGGTAGGATTTTAAGATGAATGGTTTCTGCAAAACCTTCAGTGAAGTTTTATGTATCTATTGCTTACCACCACGATGGGTTCACTCTCACCACCTCACAAACAACTGCATCAAGTTGGAGGATGTAATTGGAAGAAATACTCTAAAACTATACAACTAAGAGTAAGGGATTCTGAGAGGTGAGCACTTAATAAACAGTCAGAGCAGCAGTTATATTAGTTATGTGTTTGTGTCATGCCAAACAATTTCAAAAAAATGAGGATGTAAACAAACTGCATGCTACTCACTTGAAGAAAGTTATAAATGAACACATTCTACAAGGCACCAACCATGGTGTAAGGGAAAAAAAGTCTAAGATTTACAATGCACTAAGCCAGCAATGTGCCTATTCTATGACAATCTATAGTATTAACTGGTAGAAGTATGAATTTGTCATCAAGTTTTGCATTCTTTCTCATCCACACAGTACAGCTGCATTAAAGATCTTTGCTCCAATCCACTGAAAAAATTATCATTGCCTGCAGTTCTCAAGCATTTCCTTTCTAAGGAGGGATGCATATTCAACATTTTGTATTGGAGCATGAAGCAATGTAAGTGCTAGTGCTCAATGGCTGGCACCTAAAACTCTAAAAAGTGGGAGTTAATGGACAGCTGGATCTCTGGTACAACAATGCCAATTCTTTTTGAAATACAGTTCACTATTTCATGTGCAAATATATTTCAAACATTAATTAACAAGTCAGGTGTAACAAGTGGCTACAACTAAACATCCGTACCAGATTCAAAATAAGTCTTCAACTTGTATTAACATGATACCTAATAATGACCACACCCACTGTGCTATTAAATTCTTGTCTTAAGCTGAAAATCTTCCAGAACAGAAATTTTTAATCTGTTACTGTACAGCTGATTTTTTATATATAGCATCAAGATGATTCTTAACATACAAGCGTTAAGAGGCATCTAAAATTTTTGTCTGTTTGATCCATTCTAGTTAAAACTCCATTAAGCTTGGCTACTACTCACAGCTATTGCCCACCAATGGCGCAGTCTGCACATTGCATATGCAAGTATTAACACCTTAAATCGAAAGACTGCCAGTAGCTATAGAGAAAGGAAAAAAATATTTGTTGGTTAATTCAGAACACAGAAGAACCACATGATTCTCAGCTCACTGAAAATACTAACTGCTTACAAAACACTTCAAACAGGGCAATCTAAGTTCTGTTATTGAGAAACAAATTTGAACATGTGCTTATAAAACAGAAAGAGAACACAATTTCCCATTTGTAAAGCAAGTGGCACCATTCACATGCCTACATAGGCTCAAATATGCAAGCATGTGCAATTCCACAAATAAGTTAGAAACATAGAAAAGCCATACAAAGTATGTTCATGATCATTTTACCTGACTGGAATCTAAGCAGTTAAGTCTAGATGCAGTTAATCCAGCAAATACCTTGAGCATCACTCTGCATCTCACTAATCTTACTGCGCAAGAATATCATTAAAACTGTAAATACTTCACAAATGCAACTGGAAAACGGGAAAAAAATTTAAAACCTTTTCCTACTTACTAAATTTTTAGTATTTATTGAACTATTGAACATTGAACAATGTTGCAACAATCTATTCTTTATGGAGATGCCTGCAGAAGCAAACGGTTCCAAATATTTTGCAGTAAAGAAAGTTACAGTATTTCTAGGCCAGAAAATTAAATCAGTTAGCAGACAAGATTTCTGAATCAGGGACCCTAATCCTCAATTTCCCTGTTTATTATTTGATATTAGATTGCCTCCAACTTGTTTTAAAAGATGTGTTCAGAATCTAAAAAATGTGAAAAAAACCCACTTAAAAATTAAGAGAAATCAAGGACATACATGGCCAGAGGTACAATGAACCCATTTAATCTTATGCAAACATATATGTTTCAGTGATGTGTAGCAGAACCAGAAGAAAACCCATATAAGCCCACAAATCATTCTGCAGAATTCAATGACCTAGTCCCTTTCCAGGGAATAAAAGTCTATTATTTTGCACTACATGTTTTTAAACCTCAGTTCAACTACAGGGCAAATAATTTCCAGAGCATCAAGATTTACAGGTAACACATTTTGCTTTCTGTAGTAAGGTATATAATGGAGAACCTGCCAGCAAAATAATGATGAGAGAGAAAGGGAGAAGTAGCACAGTTTGCTAGCTTATCAAATCTTTATATCCGGTATCTCATTCCATTTGACATGGGTTTTTACATCAGTTTCAAAAGAGAGATTCTGGATATAGTTGTCAATATAAAATGACTGACTAATACCAAACCAATTCACCTCTGCCAGGCAAACAAGATCAGGTAGAATTAATGATCTTGCAAAAACATGGGGCCCTTTAGAACCATAAAGAAACAGCTTTTACTTAGACATCAGTAACTCGGTCCATGCAGTGCAAAATGCACTGCAACTACAGAGCTACAGCCTTGCTGAAAGACAAATTTCCTAATGCTATAGAGCTCCTCCCATGTGCCTAAGGTGCTTATACATAGTAAAGGAGAATCATATTTCATGTCATCTGTTTTTAGTACAATGTTAAAAAAAAAGGTCGCAGTTAAAACACAAAAATCTGAAAAAAACCCTAACCTATACAGGCCAATCTGGGAACAAGCCTTTCCTGACTGCAACTGACTTATTTTGGGGCAGGGTGTCCCAAAAATTTCAGTTTAAACAAAAAGATTTTACAGCTGGAGGACTATTGGTCTTGTCCTCTTCATGAATTATCTTTATGTTACACCAGTCTCACATTCTTGACTGAGTTTTTCATCTGCTTTTCCACTCTCCCCACCCAGCAGAAGATGCAATTTAAGTGTGTCTAAGCATCTCTAGCCACAGGCTCCGTGAGCTTGCTGCCAAAGCAGGACTGGGCAACCCCTACATGGGTGAAATTTGGCACAAGTCCTTCTGCTTTAAATTATCAAGAAAAGATCAACCCTTTCACAGGACTCAAACTAGGGAACATTTGTGGAAGGAGGAACGTGGAAAACTATACTTTTGCTGCTTTTTTCCCTTTTTCTTTTTTAAAGAACACTTACAAATATATCAAAATATGAAGAAGAGTAGTCATATTGTAGGACTTCTTTCTCTAAGGTAGTCTCAATGCCTCCTTTTACCTACAAAGAAACCAGAACACACATAACTTTAGAACAGAAGTTACTGAAGCCAAAATATGCACAGATCTGAAGGGTGAAATTAATAGTTCCCCACTGATATACAAAAAGATCATTAAAATAAGTACAGAGGACATACATGCTAAGAATGTTTATTTCAAGATTAGTGTCCTTATTTGTTTTTCATGATTATATACAATTTTCAAATTGAAAACTTTTAGGATTATCACCTGGCCTATGCAAGCTACATTTCAGACTGTTGCAAAATAAAAGCAAACAAGTAGTTGAGGGAAGAAGAAATGATTAAATGTAAGGTCTGTTACACTAATTCATAAAGCATTTTGTGTCTCATAAGGATCAAAACAGCTGATCAAAAGCTGATCTCAGTTTATTCTTTCATTTGCTTGATGTGATTCAAAATTACACCTTCCTTAGCTACTGTGTTTCTTTCCAGTGGAAGGACTCGTCACTTCCGAGTAAGTTAGCAAGAAAATCATTTAGGGTCAGAGAGGGAGAGGAGTATGTATCTTAGTTGGGAGAAAAAAACCTTAGTGTCCATATCCTATTGTTTTTAATATTAAATTCAATAATTAAACACTGCATGAAATAGCTACATATAGCACTGGAAAACAACACTAACAGAAGGCTTTAATATTGAGTTTGACTACTGTCATCCTTTTAAAGAAAGGAGGTACCAAAGCATGACAACTACATATGCTCACCATCTCAAAGCAATACAGTCTAGACACCTCCAAACATTTCCCAACTACACTGCTGGACAGTGTTTTCCTGAGACTATTCATTTTCAACCCCGAATTTCTTCTATTTCTTCTCTTCTCCCTCCCCTCTATGGCTACCTGACAAATTACTTTCTAAATATAGCTTCCCCTTGGTTGCTCTACTGCATCAGGTGTGATCATCTGTTTCCAGCCTAAATAAGGAAGATCAGTGTCCCCCCCCCTCCAAGCTGTTCACTGTGTGGCTGCATGAGCACTGTATTAACATAAGGATGAAGAGAGAACATGAAAGCCTTGATTTCGGGTTTGCTCAAACTGCCATGGAGCTACTCCCTGAGGTGTTTAAAAATAAATTACACCTAAGCGCACTGGATAACGGTGACAAAGTGAAAACAATACTTACAGGAACTCTGGTAGCAATTCTGAAGTTCCATTACTTACGTACCAGTGACAGACAGTCCTAACGCAGTGCTATTTGATTTCCCAATGAACAAAACAATTTAAAAAACAGAACAAAAAAAACCTAACCACACGTCAGATCCCAGATATCAAATGATGGCTTCTAATATTATGTCTTCTGAAGAAAAAAAACTGTTTTCATTCTTGCTGACATTTGGCAGTATAGGATTCTGGTTCATAATATATTCTCCTAAAACCAAAGCTTTTCATAAAGAAAACTGCTATGATCGTGAGGTCCCTTAATGCTGCAGCATTCAAAACTAAACATCATGAGTTGGCAGCATTTTCTATACAAAGCCTTAAAATATTCTGAGAGAACTAATATAAAAATCTGTACTCTGAATCCCCAACAAGAGATACAAACCAGACTCTGCTCCTCTTAGTCGAACAAGCTGTTGAGAAACTGGCCTAAAAAAAGAAACGCATCATAACGCTATGCTGCTTTTCTGAGACAAGCTAACTTTACTCACGGGATGCAACAATCTTTCCACCTAGAGAGATAACAGAAGTCTACGCCCAGAATTAGAGCATTCAGACAAGCACAGTCTGCTTTCTCAAATTAAATTGGGAAGTGTATTTTTCACTATATCAATGAACTACTTGAACAGTCAGCTCCTGAAACTTCATAATGTCACATCGATAACCAAGGCTATTTATCTTGTAAAGCAATGCTGACAAAAAATGTTTGCTCAAGATCTTTCTTGTCTAGAAAAGGGATTCCTCCAATTTTTCCCGTGTGTCCTTTCTTAAATGCATACTTTAGATTATAGCTTACAACCCAGCTCAAAAAACTAGGATGCTACATATAAAATAATAACAAATCAGCTTTCTGGAAGTTTCAGAACTGCCTTGTTTTCCAAATTACAAATGCTGGAGTTAAAATGTGGCAACTATGGGAGTTTATGTTGTTCACATGCACCCTGCCATACACAATGTATAGCATACCAAGTTTGTCTCAAAGAAAATACATCACAGAAAAGTTTTCACCATGGGAAGTCTTTCCAGGGACTAACACCTCCATGAAATATCACTGACTCAGAAGGCAAACTCTTGAATCCTGCTAAACTTCACGTTTCTTGCCAAATTCAAAGATGTACAGTAACATTTTTGTGTACTTGCTGCCTGAAAAGTTCACTGGATTTCCACAGGTTTCTTCTGCATGGTTCATACACTACAGGAACATCAAAAGGTTTAATGATAAGAAGATAATAAACCATGTATCCTAATGACTAAAAGTAGATGCAATTGAGATGAAAGCTTAAAAGAAGCTGCTTTAATTTAAATATATACAAATAGCATATAATTTGGGATAGAAAAGAGCAACTTATTAACCACTCCTGAAGTGAATAAATAAATTAAAAGTTTAAGGGTACTGAAAAGACAACTCACATTTAATTCTATTATCCACAGCAAGGTAATGAATAAGAGGTCAAATGTAACAAACAAACAGAAAGTCCTTCTGACATCTGATATGCCTTTCTTCTCTCTGCCTTCATATGACTCAATCCTTGCCATCAGTTGCGCGGGGTTGATGGAGTGGACATCCCGCAGGGAAGGACAGGATTCCACACTGCTACTGTGCGCATTTTCTGCATCACCTGGCACCCGATTCATCCTGGGTTTGCTTAGAGTGGTCTTCTTCCAGTTTCACCATCACTAGAAGGCTGATCCATATAGGAAGAATGTCTAAAACAAACCCAAAACAAAACACGTTAGTCACCAAATCCCCAAAATTCCAGTAGGTATTTTCATCTTACCATGTCAGTTCTCTTTTTGCTAAACTGATGACTAAGAATTTGGCAAGTAGGCTCGAAAATTTGTTTCTAAAATAAGATATATCTAGGCTCTCTTCATCTCTCAGAGGATTAGGGAAATGAGAATAAATGTTTAATTAGACTGGTGGGAATAAGGGAGCACTATCTAGATTTAGAAAGCTCCATTCTCCATGTTGTTAGAGTGAGATCATTAAATGGGAATGAATAAAAAGCATGATGCATCTTTAAGGTTTCCAATTCTGATTTAAATACTCTCAATAGGAAGCCAACTTAAAGGAAGTTCCACATACAATTCCCGAAAAATGGCAGTTAGCTATCAGCACATCCTGAGCCGACAAAACCAAAAGATTAAAAGTTCATTAAAAATCCTGAATACTGTAGTAATCATTCTATAAAGCAAATACACTGCTATTTGCTCTACAAATTCAGCTGCTATGACAACTTACATTGCCAGACAGGGTGTCTCTGAAAAAAGTGTGTGCAACCCAGTGGTTAAAGGTAATGCAATTACCCTAAGTGTCTTCTGACTATAAGGTTTTTTTTAAAAAAAAAAAAATCAGGTTAAATTTCATATAAAACTGGAGCAGTTTGATGTATGATTCACTACACTACCCCATGAGAACCTTTTTCCAATTAAAGCTTCTAGAAAGAGTTGACTAAGAAGGTCACAAAAAAGTTTCAACCAAACGCACAGAAAATTTATTTTTATGCAAAATACTCAGAAGATTAAGCTATACATCCTGCAGTACAAATCACATCAGACAAGCTTCTGTAACGCTGGGGGAATAGCTTTTTGAAATTCAAGAACAAAACTTTGTCTCTTCCTGCGTGGGTTGTCTTTCAGTAAACCACAAAATAGAAAGACAAACCCTTCTCCCTCTTCTCTTCCAATAGTGTTTCAACTCCAAGTCTGCAAAAACACAGTCAGTCAAAGCACAACAGGAAAAGCAGACAGGGGATCTGTAACACAATGCTAGGCAAACCCAAGGATATAAGGAGCCAGGGGAAAAGGAAAGGTGGGGCAGGGAGCTGCCAGCACACACACATCACAGCCGAGGAAGAGGCAGGCCAGCCAGGGGTGGACAATGTCTATGTCAAGTCACACATACAGCCTTCAGGTAGTTCAAAGCCCACTTTTCTCGGGCAACATCATGAGAATGTTAACAGACCCACAAGACAGAATCTACCTTGCCAGCTGAGTCTCCACCTGCAGTGAACAAGCAATCAGAGGCAAACCAAGTCAGTATCAATCATTATCTCATTCTGTGATCCAGCGCTGGGCCGAACCAAGCACAAGACCAAACACAAGCACAGGCAGGCTACTGCCATCCTGTTCCTGCCTGACAATCACATGAGAATGTTAACAGACCCACAAGACAGAATCTACCTTGCCAGCTGAGTCTCCACCTGCAGTGAACAAGCAATCAGAGGCAAACCAAGTCAGTATCAATCATTATCTCATTCTGTGATCCAGCGCTGGGCCGAACCAAGCACAAGACCAAACACAAGCACAGGCAGGCTACTGCCATCCTGTTCCTGCCTGACAATCAAGACCAGGATCCTCCTGCCTGTGGCTTCCCAATGTATCTGTCTTCTGGTTCTCAGTCATAAGTCATGGGACCAGGAAAGCTGCCACGCCTTTTGCTGGGCTTAAGCCCAGAGAAAGAGGTGCGAGCAGAGAACCCATGACCAGAGAAATTAAGTACTGGGTATATGAGATTGAGATAATCAGTTTCATCATTAACTGGAATAAAAATACAGAAATTGTTGTATTGCACTCACTCCTGTTTCAAGACCTTTTCAAGCAGATTTCCAACTGAGCATCTTCAGCACTTCCCATTCTCACCTTCTTCTTTACCCAGCTTCGGGTGAGAGGTGTCAGGATTTGTGCAATGACCTTTCTCAGTAAGTACTAGTCTCAACTCCGTAAAACATGCTCCCTCCCTTCCTCTGAGTCATGCACAAATTAGAGTTTATAAACACCATTCAGCAAGTGGACAAACTTTGAAGTTAAACAGAACTTGCATCAGGTTTCTACCTTTTTAAAAACAAAACAAAACCCACACTTACACAGAGTACTGAAAGAACTAGGAAGCTTTACAGTAGGAACACAAAGGCAGACTTTCTCCACATTAAGAATTCCAGTGAACCTGCTTCCCTCTGACCACCCCATGTTGATATGCATTTTCAGTCAGAAACTGTTTTGCATTTACTTCTATATCTGTGTTTCATATACCAGCCACTAAACCTTATTCTACAAATCACATTTATCTGTTCGTTTGATAATATCCAGATGTTATCTAAAATGTCTGTACTCAAAGTATATCATTGAACTATTCACCGTGTAAAGACACATTTCAGTACAGTACACAGTAAAGTTGAGTAGAAACGCAGTTGTCTCATAACAACCTCTAGTAAAGACTAGTCCATATCTAAGCATTCACGTTGCTTCTTTGAGGAAAAGAAGTTTGAAAAGTAGAAGTTCCGAAGAAAGCTCTGCCATTTACTCTGTCCTCTCTTCGCCCAAACAGAAATAGTACTAATTGCCATTCATTTCATTAGTACCATCAGATTCGCAATTCTAGAACAGAACACAATAGTTCAGTCCAGCTGGAAGGGACCTACAACAATCATCTAGTCCAACTGTCTGACCACTTCAAGTCTGACCAAAAGTTAAAGCATGGCATTAAGGGCACTGTCCAAATGCCTCTTAAACAGACAGACATGGGGCATCAATCACCTCTCCAGGAAGACTTGATAGGAAAAGACCTTGATTTTGAACAGAACAGGGCTAGAAATAATTGATAATTTCTTAGAAGATCTCAAAGTGAAGCCCACACGGCTCTGCACACCAGAAAAGGTGATGGTGCTATGCCTGCCACAGGACCCGCATGGGGCTCTACATGGAGCCAATGCTTTGCTTTCTGCCCACAAATGCCATTTAGCTTTACACCTGCAGCAGAGGAGGCAAATCCTAAATGAGATGTACTAATTTTGGAGTATCATTTAGGTTTATATTGTTATTATGCATCCTAGCCTTACATAGTAGCTGCAGGCCAACAGATACCAATAGCAAAGGAGGTCAGTGGCAATGTTGTATTCTTAATTGGTAAAACCATTTTTACTCAGCTGAATCTCCATCCTATAGAATAAAATGTATGTTTATTTGCTGATCGATTCTCTGACTTACAGGTAAACTTTCTCAGGACAGCAAATTCATGAGTCTGCATCAGGAACATCTGACCCTAAGAAGATTTTCTTAAATCACGGACATAAATAATGCAACTGGTCAGAAGGACTGAACTCTGAATAACTACTCTCAACTGGCACTCTGCTTCAGAAGATGCTGCTTCTGTTGTGGGCCTGAAGAGGGGCTCTTGCCTCAACTTTGCTACTTTTTCCAACCGTACCAATTGAGCTAATGAAAGATACTCCCTCTTCCTACAAACCTTGTCCTGTCAAAGGGATGGGGTCTCTTCTGTGTGCCCTCGGTACTCTGCAGGGTTCCTAAGAAAGATGATGGTTTATGCCAGCACAGGATCTGTCCTGGATTTTTTTTTTTTTAGTTGAATGTGCTTGCTTGAACACAGAGCAGGCTTTGAGCAACAGGCTGTGTCCCTTTATCATGGGAGAAAGCTTACCCAAACTGATGATGTTTTTCCCAGTTTCCGGTCTGCTGGGACATCCTAGACTGTAAACCAGTCAACCATGCCCAAAATGAAAGAAGGGGGGAAAAAAAAGAAAAAACAAAGATGACAGGGAACCATCTTTGCCTGCCGCTTATCAGTCTGTTTTATGGAGAACCAAATCCAAACTTAAAAGGTTCCTAAACATCAGCATTTCTTTTCAGGCAATACAAACCCCTGAAAGACCTCACCAGCCTGACGGAGTACCTGTGGGGTTTGCTCACGCAGACGCTGCTCACTCAGTGCTCAACGGCCCCGTGGGGACCAGCGCAGGGCTTTCAGGTGCCCCACAGAGGGAAGGAGGCTTTGGGTGGGTGTCCATCTCCTCCTTGGGAAGGAGGTTTTGGGTGAATTTGACCTTTCAGGCTCACTTCAAGGAAGTACCAAACATTTGCACCTCCCCCTGAAGTGGATATATTGAGCACAACATCATGTCTAGCAAGTGGAAAGCAACAGTCAGCGCTTATGACCC